AATGAGAATTATCCGCATTAACACTGCTGCAGGCCCAGCAATTAACACAGCGGCACAAGATGACAGCTGTGTAGTGCGTGCGTCTCGTGCAAGGCACGTGTCACGGGCGTTCGTTTGAACAGACAGACAGGTAAATAAATAACGGTAAATGTACAATGCTGCCAGGCCTTGAACGAAACGAGTTGTTAGATGAATATAGAAGACATTCGATCTAATAATTAAACTGTAGTTGGAACGGATCTGTGTGTATATTTTCTAGATAACTTGTAGTTAAAATATACCTCATTTCTCTGTCAAATATTCAAAATGGGTGACAGAGAAATACACCCATGTATCTCAATGGATATGTTATGATTACTTGATTACTATGATTACAAATGAAAACACACATATGTGCACATGTACATTTGGATCTTAGAATTGGTACATTTGGACAGAATAAAGCTCCAGTTTGAAACATTAAATTTCATACGGAATAGTTTCATTTGAATATAAAAATGGGTGTTCGTGAAATTTTTTTCGGAAAGAAAAAGTTTATAATGATTGTTATTGAAATATATAGAAAAGATTTACAGTATTGTAAGGACATATGTTTCTGAAAACAAGCTGTTAAGCTGATGAAATTTGTACATATTTTCAAACAAATTAAAAATTACAATTCATGTTAAAAATATATATTTGAACTTCATAAAGCCTAAACACATCGGTGCTACATCACTGTGGCGTGTGATTTTAACTCTTATTTAGTCGCCTTAAGCTTCAACTACTTCTTGGACAGATAGACACTAGCATATTGTCCAGGAATACTTTTATTGTATGTCAACTCTCGATGAATCTATCTATGATACACCGAGTGTACCCAGCTATAGTCTGTTTGCGGTGAAAACGTACCGATGAATTTCACTTTAAACAAAAATGTAAATCAAATAAAGAGAAATTGAGACTGCAAATCCTCATAATTTTACCTTGCCATTTCAAAAGTTGAATCTCAGATTTTTATTCAACTTAGGATAAAAGTTGTTTAACAAACGATCATAGTTTCAAATCGGTATTATTGGTTTGTATTACAAGGGGGTATGCACATTAAATGAAACACCGAGAACAAGGAGGGTTGGTCTAAGTTAACGCTCATCACGTCCCGCACGTGCATTTGTTCCACTGTTCCAACTACTGCGCTTACCCCCTTGTAATACAAACCAATATAAGCGATTTGAAACAATGATCGTTTGTTAAACAACGTTTTTCCTAAGATGAAAAAAAATCTAAGATTAATTTTTAAATTGGCAAGGTAGAATTATGAGGATTCGCAATCTTAATTTCACTGTATTCGATTTACATTTTTGTTTAAAGTGAAATTCACCGGTACGTTTTCACTGCAAACAGACTATACATGGCCAGTTACTTTGTTCCTCGTGACCGTGAGAGGGTGTAGGCTACAAAAGTAATGCGCTGGACACGGAGAAGACAACAAATATTCCGGGCCCACTCAATCACTCGGGCCGGTGAAGTGCATATTGGTCAGAATGTCAGCCAAATGTTTGTGTCAATCTACAGGTAAACAATGGCATCGTCCACCCATTAATCCAATCATCCACCCATTTATTTTCTAAGGGCGATGGGATGCAGGGAAAGTACAACTAAGTGAATGAATAGCAACAGTGTTTATTACATACGTTTACATTTCCTAGGCTTTCTCAATTAAAAACGCACACGTGTTATACCAACATACATTTTCCGTATCAACATGTTTATCTTGGCAATCTATCTGGACATATCTATTGGGAACACACGCGTTATGCCAACATTTTTTTGCCATATCTGCATGTTTGTTTTGGCAATCTATCTGGACATATCTCCAAGGCAACACACGTGCTATACCAACATTTATTTGCCGTATCAGCATGTTTGTTTTGGCAATCAATCTGGAAATATCTCCAAGGCACACGCGTTTTGAACCAACATTTATTTGCCGCATCAACATGTTGTTTTGGCAATCTATCTTCACATATCTCCAAGGCAACACACGTGATCGTAGGTCATCCTTCTTCTCTTCACTTGTGTTCTGTTCAGTGTTTCTGTTGAGTATATTTGTTAGGTGTACGAAAGTTGTGATCTGGAGTAATATTTCTAGAAGGATATTTGTATTCTTATCTGTCCTTCCAAGGAGCGCCATTAATCATACCGAAGCCAATAAACTACACGGCGTGCCCAGGCCCATTCACAAGCAAGATATTAAAATGTTGTTCGAGCTTAACACATTTAATTGAAGTAATAAATTCAACTTTGCAAGTATTGACTAACACACTTCGTATAGAAATGCATTTGATTGGTGACTGAATGAGACACTTTTTTAAATAACATATCGGGTTGTGATATGTTCTGTGATGAAAGTGAAGAAGTACTACACGTAGTAGTACAGAATGTAGTAGTAGTAGCAGTAACAGCAGCAGTTGAAGTAGCAATAGTACTCACTCTCTCAATCAATCAATCAATCAATCAATCACTCGCTCACTCCGTACTGAAGCTCTCTTTGTCCTGACAGATGCTCATGCACGACACCAAACATTCAAACACGGACAGTGAACGTTGGCAGTAAAACATTTACAGTAAACGTTGGCAGTAAAACACGACAGTAAACGTTGGCAGTAAAACATTTACAGTAAACGTTGGCAGTTAAACATTTACTGTAAACGTTGGCAGTAAAACACGACAGTAAACGTTGGCAGTAAAACATGGACAATAAACGTTGGCAGTAAAACACGGACAGTAAACTTTGGCAGTATAACATGGACAGTAAACGTTGGCAGTAAAACACAATAAACGTTGCAAGTAAAACACGGACAGTAAACGTTGGCAGTAAAACACGGACAGTAAACGTTGGCAGTAAAACATGGACAGTAAATGTTCGCAGTAAAACATGGACAGTAAAGGTTGGCAGTAAAACACGGACAGTAAACTTTGGCAGTAAAACATTGATAGTAAACGCTGGCAGTAAAACACGGACAGTAAACGTTGGCAGTAAAACATTGACAGTAAATGCTGGCAGTAAAACATGGACAGTGAACGTTGGCAATAAACCATGGACAGTGAACGTTGGCAGTAATTCTTCAGTTTAATTCAGAGGAGCGAGTCTTCACGGAGAGAACTACCAGTCTCATTGGCACAAGCTTGTTAAAATTTTCCAACTAAGACACAGTGTAAACATTTTCTTTAAGAAGTCTGGGGATTATGTGTGTAACAACTCGAGCAGATTAGACAATACAAGCACCTCAATAAAAAAGGACCCTGTTATCCCAGAGAGCACATAAGTCCGTACACCTCTATAGTCCGGAATCCCCGATAGTCCACAAAATTCATGAGTAAGGAAACCCTCCTAATCCGCAAGTCCCGCTATACTTGACATCCTCTAGTCCGGAAACCCCATTAATCCTAAGAAACCAAACTCAGGAAACCCCATCAGCCTGAATTGTGCCGAATGGTGCTAGTGGGATCGTATACATGTAGATTATGAAAAGAGACATGACTGTCAGCTCTTAATAAGGACACTTGTTAATGTGAACAATTTTGTAAACAAGAACCATACGTTCCTGAACACGGAAGTTTATCGGCTTAGATGCTTAACTATAAATTAACTGAGTGAGGTAACTGGACTACCTAACCACACACAAAACTGAACTCAACCAGATAAGTAGCTGAATATGTAATGCATTTATTGTTGTCCAACACAATACTTGATGATAAATTCAGAGGAGGTCATTCTCATGACTTGACCGTGTAACTATAGTACTGTCGGAAATAGAAAAAACTGTTTTTAGACTGTTACTCTGTATCCCTAAAATTGATACAATTGCAAATAGCATATGTCGAAATAACCCACTTCGGCCTAACTGGGCGTTCAGTGGGATGCGTAATACGATATCCAGAAAAGCATGTTTACTCGTAAAATCGGGCAAAACTGATAGATAGAAAACAATAGATCAGACTATAGATTGCAATTAGGTCGCTCAGCCAGGTATGACGACGGACCGTCGACTCACCTGGCATGAAATGCACGTGCTGCCTACAGGCACAAGGGGTCATCTCAAAGATATTTTGTGCTTTTTCATGTGTGTTGACTATGTTTCATCTACTGATTAACATCTTACGTGTCTTTCTTTCATAAAGTTTATGTTAAGATATGTAAGAGAGTATGATACCCGAAAACCATAGAAACGCATCGTAGTATATAGGTGGCATGACCACCCGAAGATCGACAGGACTGGATATTGTTTGTAAATTGTTATGACGTGCCGTGTACCTCCCCAGCATAATTGCCCTAAAGGATTATCTTATCTTAGCTGATATCTCTATCCCCAAGCCCGACCCCAGGTTTTGCCTTTGAGACGACCCCCTCCTATCTGTTATTATTATTTACGTCAGCTATCGTTTATAATGAATCTACGTCTAATTTCAAATTGGGCATTTAAAAAGTGTCCTTTGTAATACAATATCGGCGCACACTCATTAAAGCCATGGTCTGTTCCAAGTACATCTTTTTGGGTTTCTGCACTAATTTCCCCTCAGTAAAGTCCTTTTTCTCCGTTTCCTATCTCTCTACCACTGAGACTGTAGTTAGGCCGAACTTAGTTTAACAGATATTTCACACTATCACATATCAACTACATCAATTGTTGAGATAAATGAGATAATACAGTTTTTTTTCTATTTCCAACAGTACTATAGTTGCGGCAAGTTTTGATAAGCCGCGCTCACCGCTACCCCACCTCCTTCACAGGTTTCGGACATTTCGCTATCACAAATTATTTTCAGTAACTTCTTCCGATCAATCAACTTTCAAACAAACATTTATTTTAAAACAAGTTAATCCACGGAAGAGAGCCTGGCAGAGAAGTATGTAAACTCAACAAAGGGAGGCTCAACGTGGCGCCCTGGCGTACAACCCTTTCATGTACAGTCAGTTCGAGAAATCAATATCTAGTTTAAAGCTGAGCTTAGCGTGCGCCAAATGTCCCACACAGTTTTCGACACTCGGTAGAGATGAGGCTACACACATTTGTCCGCTACATTCTGTTAGTGTGTTGTTTTTGGCTTGCTGTTGTCTTTGTGACGTTTATTAATACATTGGGTAGATATGATGAAGCGCGGGGGAGCCAACAAGACCAGGTGCCCTTGGAGGAAGCTATGGCACAACTTTTAGCCAGGAACAGGACGTTGTTAATGCGAGCCGTTGAGTTGGCCGGACTTGGGGAATTTCATGATGACCGTGGGATTCCACACCATAATCACCCTCCGAATGACCCGAGGAATGACCCAAATTCAAGAGGTAAGTGTTAGAGAGTGAATGTTATTTTACGCCCTCTCAACACTGTTACTACAATAATAAAACCCCGTTAACCCAGACATGACCGTTCCGAGTGGAAATGTGTGGATTAACAGTTGTCTGGATTAACGCATCATTGAGTAATGACCTTCGTACATACGTAAACGCTCCTAACAACACTTCTCCGGGTGTTTCTGTATTAGCGAGGTACACAACGACGGAGTCATACACAGCATTACATTACCACAACATCATACACACATTCGAGCGTGAGCTTGTTACATTCAATTATGTATTCAATAATTGTCATCTCAATTACTTAACGACCTATTGTGGAGCGTATAGGGGCGTGCTCTTGGAGACCTGTGCTGGGAAGTGACGAACACGCCCCTTAGTGTTATATATGTTGTGTACTGTTCAACAACTGAAAGGGACACAGATGCAGGGAAATCTCTGTGGCTTATACTTTACAGTCCCTGTTGTAAAAGTAGTCCTGTTATAAATGACAGTCCCTGTTGTAAACGTAGCCCATGTTATATATGGCAATCCCTGTTATAAAAGTAGTCCTTATGATATATGACAGTCCCTGTTGTAAAAGTAGTCCCTGTTATATATGACAGTCCCTGTTGTAAAAGTAGTCCCTATGATATATGACAGTCCCTGTTGTAAAAGTAGTTCCTGTTATATATGACAGTCCCTGTTGTAAAAGTAGTCCCTATGATATATGACAGTCCCTGTTGTAAAAGTAGTCCCTGTTATATATGACAGTCCCTGTTGTAAAAGTAGTCCCTATGATATATGACAGTCCCTGTTGTAAAAGTAGTTCCTGTTATATATGACAGTCCCTGTTGTAAAAGTAGTCCCTGTTATATATGACAGCCCCTCTTATATGTGACAGTCCCTGTTATAAAAGTAGTCCCTGTTATATTAACAGTCCCTCTTATATATGACAGTCCCTGTTATAAAAGTATCCCCTGTTATATATGACAGTCCCTGTTGCAAAATTAGTCCTGTTATATATGACAGTCCCTGTTATAAAAGTAGTCCTGTTATACATGACAGTCCCTGTTATAAAAGTAGTCCCTGTTATATATGACAGTCCCTGTTGCAAAAGTAGTCCTGTTATATATGACAGTCCCTGTTATAAAAGTAGTCCTGTTATACATGACAGTCCCTGTTATAAAAGTAGCCCCTGTTATATATGACAGTCCCTGTTGCAAAATTAGTCCTGTTATATATGACAGTCCCTGTTGTAAAAGTAGTCCCTGTTATATATGACAGTCCCTCTTATATATGACAGTCCCTGTTATAAAAGTAGTCCCTGTTATATTAACAGTCCATCTTATATATGACAGTCCCTGTTATAAAAGTTGCCCCTGTTATATATGACAGTCCCTGTTGCAAAATTAGTCCTGTTATATATGACAGTCCCTGTTATAAAAGTAGTCCTGTTATACATGACAGTCCCTGTTATAAAAGTAGTCCTGTTATATATGACAGTCCCTGTTGTAAAAGTAGTCTTGTTATATATGACAGTCCCTGTAAAGTAGTCCTGTTATATATGACAGTCCCTGTTATAAAAGTAATCCCTATGATATATGGCAGTCCTAGGTACAAACGCGGTCCCTGTTATATATGGTAATCCCGGTTTTGAAAGCACTCAAGTTAAAACAACTAATCTTTTCTTTTCGAGATTCTCTTTTCATTATTATTTTTATAAAATACAGTTTGCTCGAATGCGAATATAAAAATATCTTTCAATCACACAATCACACCAGAGTGGGGTGTTATATGACCTGTCGTGGGGTGGGGGAATGAGGGTGTCGGGGTGGGGGAGCTGATGTTGGTGGCAGAGTACAATCTTATCGACAGTTCATGCATGTGATAAATCACATGTCAAACAACCATGTTGGATTTAGCCTGTCCGGATCTTTTATGACACTGGATTTAATAAATAGAAGTTTTATTTCATCTAAGAGCTCAGCAAACTCGGAGGTTGGAAATCCAATAAAGTCTAGTCCTTTCGTCAAATGTCATTAGTTTGAGAAAGCGACAATGTTTTATGTAATTTATTAAACGTTGAACTACTCCAGATGCATCTGTGTAGACCATCAACACGTGTGCAGAGCTCGTCCTTCTTTTGCCGTCCCGAAAATTAGCCACTCGCACTTTGAATGTCAGCAATAATTATATTAATAAACAGCACCAAGCTTGGTAATTGAATGCTGTGCGTATATATACCGTGGTTCAGTTGTCAGGTCAAAGTACTGCACTGACCGTCTATATGTATACAGAACACTGTACACTGTACTGACCGTCAATATGTAAACAGATAACGTACACTGACCGTCTATATGTATACAGAGCATTGTACACTGTACTGACCGTCTATATGTAAGCAGACAACGTACACTGACTGTCTATGTGTAAACAGATAACGTACACTGACCGTCTGTATGTATACAGATAACGTACACTGACCGTCTATGTGTAAACAGATAACGTACACTGACTGTCTATGTGTAAACAGATAACGTACACTGTACATGTATAACAGATAACGTACACTGACCGTCTATATGTAAACAGATAACGTACACTGACCGTCTATGACCGTGTATGTAGACAGATAACGTACACTGACCGTCTATATGTAAGCAGATAACGTACACTGACTGTCTATGTGTAAACAGATAACGTACACTGACCGTCTATATGTAAACAGATAACGTACACTGACCGTCTATATGTAAACAGATAACGTACACTGACTGTCTGTATGTAGACAGATAACGTACACTGACCGTCTATGTGTAAACAGATAACGTACACTGACTGTCTGTATGTATACAGATAACGTACACTGACCGTCTATATGTAAACAGATAACGTACACTGACCGTCTATATGTAAACAGATAACGTACACTGACTGTCTGTATGTAAACAGATAACGTACACTGACTGTCTGTATGTAAACAGATAACGTACACTGACCGTCAACATGTAAACAGATAACGTACACTGACCGTCAACATGTAAACAGATAACGTACACTGACCGTCAACATGTATACAGATAACGTACACTGACCGTCTATATGTAAACAGATAACGTACACTGACTGTCAACATGTAAACAGATAACGTACACTGACCGTCAACATGTAAACAGATAACGTACACTGACCGTCAACATGTAAACAGATAACGTACACTGACCGTCTATGTGTAAACAGATAACGTACACTGACTGTCTGTATGTATACAGATAACGTACACTGACCGTCTATATGTAAGCAGATAACGTATACTGACTGTCTATGTGTAAACAGATAACGTACACTGACCGTCTATATGTAGACAGATAACGTACACTGACTGTCTGTATGTATACAGATAACGTACACTGACCGTCTATATGTAAACAGATAACGTACACTGACTGTCTGTATGTATACAGATAACGTACACTGACCGTCTATATGTAAACAGATAACGTACACTGACTGTCTGTATGTAAACAACCGTCTATATGTAAACGTACACCGACCGTCTATATGTAAACAGATAACGTACACTGACCGTCTATATGTAAACAGATAACGTACACTGACTGTCTGTATGTAAACAGATAACGTACACTGACTGTCTGTATGTAAACAGATAACGTACACTGACCGTCAACATGTATACAGATAACGTACACTGACCGTCTATATGTAAACAGATAACGTACACTGACCGTCAACATGTAAACAGATAACGTACACTGACCGTCAACATGTAAACAGATAACGTACACTGACCGTCTATATGTAAACAGATAACGTACACTGACTGTCTGTATGTAAACAGATAACGTACACTGACCGTCAACATGTATACAGATAACGTACACTGACCGTCTATGTGTAAACAGATAACGTACACTGACCGTCAACATGTAAACAGATAACGTACACTGACCGTCTATATGTAAACAGATAACGTACACTGACTGTCTATATGTAAACAGATAACGTACACTGACTGTCTGTATGTAAACAGATAACGTACACTGACCGTCAACATGTAAACAGATAACGTACACTGACTGTCAACATGTAAACAGATAACGTACACTGACCGTCAACATGTAAACAGATAACGTACACTGACTGTCAACATGTAAACAGATAACGTACACTGACCGTCTATATGTAAACAGATAACGTACACTGACTGTCTACATGTAAACAGATAACGTACACTGACCGTCTATATGTAAACAGATAACGTACACTGACCGTCAACATGTAAAAAGGGAACGTACACTGACCGTCTATATGTAGACAGATAACGTACACTGACCGTTTGTATGTAGACAGATAACGTACACTGACCGTCTATATGTAAACAGATAACGTACACTGACTGTCTGTATGTATACAGATAACGTACACCGACCGTCTATATGTAAACAGATAACGTACACTGACCGTCAACATGTAAACAGATAACGTACACTGACCGTCTATATGTAAACAGATAACGTACACTGACCGTCAACATGTAAAAAGGGAACGTACACTGACCGTCTATATGTAGACAGATAACGTACACTGACCGTCTGTATGTATAAAGATAACGTACACTGACCGTCTATATGTAAACAGATAACGTACACTGACTGTCTGTATGTATACAGATAACGTACACCGACCGTCTATATGTAAACAGATAACGTACACTGACCGTCAACATGTAAACAGATAACGTACACCAACCGTCTATATGTTAACAGATAACGTACACTGACCGTCAACATGTAAACAGATAACGTACACTGACCGTCAACATGTAAACAGATAACGTACACTGACCGTCTATAAGTAAACAGATAACGTACACTGACCGTCAACATGTAAAAAGGGAACGTACACTGACCGTCAACATGTAAACAGATAACGTACACCAACCGTCAATGTGTAAACAGATAACGTACACTGACCGTCTATATGTAAACAGCTAACGTACACTGACCGTCAACATGTAAACAGATAACGTACACTGACCGTCCATATGTAAACACATAACGTACACTGACCGTCGACATGCATGCACTGTATTTACCGTCTGTACGTACATTCATACAGTTCGTACATCGGTTTGTCGATTCATACCCATAACAATTTCTACATACAATACTCCAATAATGTGTAGGCGATGAATAGAACAGCAGTTGCTTTAAACATATTTTATTCAGAAACGAAATGGATTGGCAAACAAGCCTAAATGTCTTGCATTAATGCCGCTCCATAATACATGTTTAGGTTCACATATACATGTATATTAATGTTGTACATAAGAAGTTTAGCAAGTTGTGAAAATATGAACAGGTTATCTCTGAATGATAACAAGCCTGGATAATAACACATTACCTTAGTTTTGTTTCGTGGCCAGGTGATACAAATATGAAAATAATTGAAACTACAAGACTTTTGTGAATTTTTAGAATTCCACTTCTCACGAGACAGCACATATTTACGAAACGAGTTCACATTTGCACATACAGCCGAGCACCGTTGTGTCGAACTGTGATACCTTGTACGTGTACAGATTTTAATGTCGCTAAAAAATTCCAGGATGCAAACGCGAAACATTAGAACAACACGTTCTTTTTCCCATGGTGCACCAAAGACTAGGTTCAATATGCTCCTCAAGTAGATTGGACTTGTGGTGATTATGGGCACATTAATCATACTTACAACGAAATACTGATCCCCTTATTCAAAGTTTAACTTCGACACCAGCTGTTAACAGTTAGCTCGAACCACTTGCTACCTGCGCGTTGTTCGCTTTTCGTCTGGCCAGATAATGGGTGAGTGAGTATGGTTCTGTGCCGATGTAAGCTCTGCTCCAGCAGTATAACGACGGGAACTGTGAATGGCTATATTGACCACGTGTCTTTGTGGGTGGCAGCTGAGATTAGAATTCCAACTTTATTGGAATCGTAGGTGTCACTTTGTTACAGGAGAATATCACAAATCTGTGTGATGGTTCATTTTAGTCATCTATAGTCCGTTTGGCTCAAAAGCGGACCGATGAATTGCAATCTAACTCGAAAACTAATAAATATAAAATAATCAATGAAACGCTGATCATAATCAAAACATCATACCCACTCTGTGAGGTTTTTGCAGAATTTTTGTCCTAGAAATAAAAAAGTTGTTTAACAAGCTATCATTAAAATATTGACACAGTTCAATATTTGTTACGAGGGAGGAGTGCAGAGAAAGGGACAGCCAGGTGTTCGAGAACGGATGGAGACGGCACAGCACAGGTTAGTGAATAAATAACTTTGTCTGTAAACGTGCTTCTCGAACACCTGACTGTCCCTTTCTCTGCACTCCTCCCTCGTAACAAATAGTGAACTGTGTCAATATTTTAATGATAGATTGTTAAACAACTTTTTTATTTCTAGGACAAAAATTCTGCAAAAAACCTCACAGAGTGGGTATGATGTTTTGATTATGATCAGCGTTTCATTGATTATTTTATATTTATTAGTTTTCGAGTTAGATTGCAATTCATCGGTCCGCTTTTGAGCCAAACGGACTATACATCCTGTATAAAACACGTCCACGCTAGAGAAAGCCCTGTCTAGATTAACGACATTCCATGTGGAGTAGAGGAGTTTGTTCATTAGTTGTTTAACGTCGTACTCAGCAATATTCCAGCTAAATGACGGCGGTCTGTCAGGACCAGACAATCCAGTGATCAACAGCATGAACATCAGTCTAGAATAACCACGTTCCATGTGGACTGAGGGATTTTGTTTGTTTGTATTTAACGCCGCACTCGGCAATATTCAAGCTATATGGCGGCGGTCTGTAAATAATCGAGTCTGGACCAGATAATCCGGTGATCAACAGCATGAGCGTCGATCTACGCAACTGCGATACGATGACATGTGTCAACCAAGTCAGCGAGCCTGACCACCCGATCCCGTTAGTTGTCTCTTACGACAAGCATGGGTTGCTGAAGACCAATTCTAACCCGGATCTTCACGGGTTGTAGGGTAAAGGAGAAAGGGTTGGGACAAATATAGGAATAAATCGTCAGTAATGACACCAGGTGTTCTCGGAAAGGGTGGAGTGTGTGTGTGCGTGACCGATGAATGCTTAGGTCAAAAGGTAAAAGGTCTCGGTGTTTTGTAATATGTGCAGAGTCGAACCGGACCTCCAGAATGCATTACCCACATGGCTAACCAATCCTCAGAATGTTTCTGTGGGTGCGGCAGTCATGGTGGTGTAGATCACAGATGTGTTTGCGCTTAACACGTCAGCTGCTTGTACCAGCGACAACATTCATTTCATTCAACAATACGATGATACATCTGTCTGATCATTAAGTGATTGACATCTTCATATTACTAAATAATTGACGGCTCCGTCGGGAATATGCTGACTAATGTTAATTTAGGTGAGGTGAGGTGAAATTGGGTTTAACGTCGTGCTTGAGAATATTTCGCTCATATGACGACGTGCATGCGTGTGTATGTGTATGTGCGGCTGCTTGTACTAGCCCAGACTGAAGCTGGTTTTATAGTGTTAGCCCACTGAGATACCATGCCGCAGTGAAGCATGAATACCCCACTCAGACACATTATACTGACTCCGAGCCGACCAGTCCTTGTTGTACCCATTAACGCCGAGCGCCAGGCAGGGACCAATTAGTACCATATTTTAACATCTTTTGGTATGACGCGGTCGGGGATCGAACCCGCGACCTTCCGCTCTCCGGGCGGACGCTCTAACCACTACACCACGGAGGCGGTCGTTAATTTAGGTGATTCCGATAGTCTTCAGTGAATTTGGTTACTAAATCCTTCACTAGTCAAGGCTAACTTCCAGATGCATAACTTCTTTTGCCCTGAAGTATATTTCATTGATTTCACGTCGAGTCAGTAGCTCTTTGACATTTAGTACTTCTGTAAAATCAGCGACCACAGGTTTGGTGATGACAAACCTAGAATCTGGGATTTGAACCTGCGATTATGGCACTCCTACGGACAGAAACACTGCATTCCTGACTACTGCGCCCAGATTACCTATCAGACGTATATTGAACAATTGCATATTTAAACTTTGAATAGGGCAGTGGGATAGCCTAGTGGTTAAAGCGTTCGCTCGTCACGCCGAAGACCCGGGTTCGATTCCCCACATGGGTACAATGTGTGAAGCCCATTTCTGGTATCCCCCGCCGTGATAAAGCTGGAATATTGTTAAAAGCGGCGTAAAAACGAACTCACTCACTAAACTTTGAATATCATATTTTGTAAAATGACAAAAACGTCTTCATGATTTCATAGATACTTGTTTGTTTTTCAGGCTATGGTGGAAAGGGTGTTGTTATTGACCCACAACACTTATCTCCCATGGAAAAGGCTCTCTACGATAGGGGCTATCAGGATCACAACTTCAACGAATTTGCAAGCGACCTCATCCCGCTCAGGAGGAGGCTAATTAATATTACAGAACCTGAGTAAGCCAGTGAAACACTTATGTGATTGAGTAAAATGGGGTATATACTGCTTTCATTGTGTTTCCATTATATCACTGGATGACACGCTTCATATCTACATCGTCGGCCTAAAGTCTACGTTAAACATTAAATGATTATGATCATGATGATGATATGAGAGGAACGGTGAAAGTGATGCAGATCTTGGAAGTTCCCCACTCGGTGTTGGTGCCGACAAACCTAGAACCGGGTAACGCATTCTTGATCATTTATTTGTGGTACGCCAAGGGGACGCAACTCTAGGTGGTGGGAACAGCGCCGCCTCAGGCGACTGGGACATCTGTATTGTGGCTCGAACCGCTCACTTTTTGACTCCTTGTCCACAACACCAAGGATGATAAAATATTGCAGTAGGACAACGCTCCACGTGCTCATGTCCAGTCGACGTTGTAGACGTTGCCTTGAAGGAGAGTGCCAAAACGTTGACGCTGCCTGAGTTGAACAAGCGAAATATTGTCTAATTAGGTATTTAATTAACGTGAATGATCTACACAAGAAAATTTGAATTAGCAGACAACCACAGTGGTTAATTAAAGACTCTAATACAATTTGCTAGGACTGCAGAATTGCCATATCTTGTTTCGCTAGATAGTTCTGTCCATGGCAGCTTTTCTCCCTGAATTGACCCCCGCTCTAAGAGCAACAGTTTGTAGTTCCATTCCACAGAGTGTTTTCTGGGTCACGAGAACGTGAGACACCGATGATCATGCCTTACGATAATCGTTGTGCTACGATTGCAAGTGTGTCTCATCCATGTAAATCTATATAGTGATGTTAAGGCAGCTCCTTTGGTATCATTCGTCATCACTCGCCTCTTTCCGTAACCTCCAAGAATAGGTATTCGGCTTGTCGTGGAATAACACCAGTTGGCCACGAATCTTTGGTATATCTGCAAACCACCGGAATTACGATAGATATAGTGCAGAGATGGCGAATACAGAATACTGGAAAATAGAAATACATTTGTATCTATATGAGCGATTGTATCGCAAAATGTCAATGTCTATTCAGCTGTGATGGAGGAACAATATAAATATCTCCTCAGACCTCCCGGAGCTGTCTCACGAAGGTACTTTTGTTAATCAAACCCGATAGCCAATCTGCGCCGGCCAAATCCGACTTCAAGTGAGATTTCCTGTTTGTTTTTACGATATAATACTCCGCAGTATCTCAATGGTTTGTATTCTTACAGGTGTCTGGCGAGACATTACGACTACAGCAAGCTCCCAACTGCGGGTGTTGTCGTCATATTTCACAACGAGGCTTGGAGTCCGCTCCTCCGCACAGTGCACAGTATTCTGGATAACACTGCACCGGAGCTCTTGACAGAGATTGTTTTAGTGGACGACGCATCAGATAAAGGTTACCTCCCTTCAATTTCCAAACTGTTGACAAAGGCTTCGAGTGATTCTACAAAAAAAAGAAGTGGCTGAGCACTTCGCTTGTCAAACTACTTCGTGTTAATGGGGTCTCATTGTTTCAGCCATTGCATCTCTTGAAACTTACATCACACTATATCATGTTTTACACTGGTCAGCTAGTACTAGTAGGGTCTTGATGTATACACATGCATTTGTGAAAGGGTAGGACCTGTTCATAAAATAACAAAATATACTCATGCCAATAATGGTTGTCACCCCCTTGAAATTTTTTAATTGGAGAGGGGTGTGAAGTGGGGTGAGGTGTGTGGGGGTTTAGGGTGGGGGGGGGTGACAACCATTATTGGCATGAGTATATTTTGTTATTTTATGTACAGGTCCTACCCTTTCACAAATGTAGGTTAATCTCACTGTCCCAGTGCGTAGAGGAAAGTGTGGAGATCTGTCTTTGGTTCTTTGGTTAATCGGGGCGGTGGGGTAGCCTAGTGGTTAAAGCGTTCGCTCGTCACGCCGAAGACCCAGGTTCGAATCCCCACATGGATACAATGTGTGAAGCTCATTTCTGGTGTTCCCCGACGTGATGTTCCTGGAATATTGCTAAAAGCGGCGTAAAACCAAACTCAGTCAGTCAGTCAGTCAGTCTCACCCATTTTGAATATTTGACAGAGAAATGGGATATATTTTAACTACAAGTTATCTAGAAAATATACACACAGATCCGTTCCAACTACAGTTTAATTATTAGATCGAATGTCTTCTATATTCATCTAACAACTCACTCACTCACTCTTTGGTTAATCTGCAATCTGTAGATAGGAGTGAGAACGGTTTTGTGCTGCTTTTATCAATATTCGAGTAATATCACCACGGGAGACACGAGAAAAAGGGCTTCACACATTGTACCCAGATGGGGAGTCGATCCCGCGTCTTCGGTATGACGAGCGGATGTTTTAACCACTTGGCTAGCCCACCTACACCCGTGATCCAGTCTATCGTGACATTGATCCAATTTCTTGTAATCTTGACACTCCTACACTTCTGTTGCAGTCCATCTGGGTCATCCTTTGTCCGACTACATCCAGCAGCTGGACAACGTGAGGCTGGTCCGGTACACGGAGAGGGTGGGGCTCATGACGGCTCGCAACGCCGGCTGTGATGAGGTGACGGGGGAGGTGTGCGCCTTCCTCGACGCCCACTGCGAAGTACCGGAAAGTATGTAATATAAACCTTCCCAGCACACGCCACATAGTCTTGTCTGTATTATTTATTTGTGTTAGTGTGTGGAAGAGTAGCCCCAGTTCAGATGTTTTAGTCTCTGAATCTTCCTTCTCACTTGGGCTCCGTTTCAGTTTAAAAGGAATTGTTTGTTTCTATCAAATATTATATATATTCAGAGACTAAGCGTTAGTCTAGGAACAGGCACGTTCATGTTGAATGAAGACCTGCGAGTACGGATCCGGTTATTCGAGAGAACCGTTGGAAACGTCATTGTTGTATATTGTTACTCGAAACGCGATGAGAAGTACGTTTTTAATACCTTAAAAAGTGGTCATATGTGGCATACATAATATTTCTAATCACACGTTTATATAACACATGCTGCAATGACCACTTTTATTTCTTAAAGGCATGGTGTCAGCGTATCTATGGCCCATGTCAGCTGTGAATTTGCATGCTTGTCAGAAGGGTACACAAACTACATATATAATCATGACTACGAGTTGTCAGACTTCCATTTTTGCCCGCGGGCTCAGTGGTTTAGATCGCTGACATTTTGTGCTATTATTAGCTGCCTCGTACTGAGAGTGTAGGTTCGAATAACAGATGTGACACAACCCCCAAAAGTCATAGACTCTGTACGATATTGAGAGAATGTAATGCCAAATGTTGAAACGCGAAGGTTAATCGAGAAATTGGTACGTTGTGGTATCGGAACAGTACAACACAAAATCGTCCCCTAGATCGGACCGTAGAAGGTATTGACGCGCCATTCTTTCACTAGTTTAGAGTTTCTGTTAGTCTCCTAGAACTTCTTACCTCCCAAAGAAACTACACAATGGCGTTCCTCCGGGAAGTGGTCCTGTATTTTTCTTTATTATCAGATTGTTGACAAAATCAGGTTAGCTATTGGCATATTACGAGTGCTTCACGTGATTGCTGCTACTAACAATAACTGGCTGACTGCGTTTTGGTTTTACGCCGCTTTTAGCAATATTCCAGCAACATCACGGCGGGGGACACCAGAAATGGGCTTCACACATTGTACCCATATGGGGATTCGAACCCGGGTCTTCGGCGTGACGAGCCAACGCTTTAACCACTAGGCTACCCCACCGCCCCTACTAACAATGAACTTGTAATACACGAATCTACTGCTATATCACAACGCTAATGGACATTACTTCGTAGCGGTATTTCCTTTTATCGTGACACCATCTCGTGGAACAGCACCGACCTAACCAATGGAGTTTCACTGAACTCACCCTAGCAAGTCTTAGACTAACGACCTTCAACATCATGATCGATGTAGTTATCGCTCATGTACTGAAATTTATGTGTTCTTGTTGTCACATTACGTGATTTTATTTCGTTTCGTTTAGTTCACGGTAATACTTTTAGTGAACTTGGAGTTGTCTCCCTTGGTAAACAGTGCGCCAAGACATGGCGAATGTAACTTGATCTTGAAGATTAAACTTTTAAGTTTAATGGACATTCACGTCATCTTTTCGACCAAGGACCAAGCATAACACTTGTGACAGCGTTACAAGCTCAGATATTAAAATTTCACGCAAATTGTGCATTGTTGGACACACGCGACATCGAGTGTCATCTTACCGGTGACATTGTTTGTACAGCGACATAGTGGTTAATCTGGTCCACACTGGATTGTTTACAGGACAAGATACAGCAGAACTATGCTGCGTGTGGTTTCAAACAACAAGCATACAAACGTTAGAGATATTCTTTTGAATGTATTGTATACACCGACAGATGACAAACATTGAACTCCGTTTATAACGAACTCAAGGGGGGACCCACATTTTAAATCGTCATAACCGTAGCTCGCTACACGCATTTCCACTACGATATACATTAGGTGACCTGGCCGACAATAATTCGTTATATCCGTCAGCTGGTTACACGCGTGTTCGTTATAAACGTAATTTATTACACGGTACAATGAGACGTGAGTGGGGGGAGACCCTAAGACACACAGGCATCAATATGTGGATGGTTTTGCAGTGTGGCTCGAACCCCTGCTGGACCGGATTCGTCAAAACGACAAGCTTTTAGCCATCCCCACCACCGACTCCATCAGCTCTGATACGTTCGAGTACTGGAAGAGCAATCCGAAGATGATGTACAAGGGAGGAGTGGACTTGGACCTGTATTTCTCCTGGATACCGCTCACCAAGGCAGAGGAGGAGAGGGACAATGTCTTAGACCCAGTCAGGTAAGCGGAACTCACCCGAACTATCTATCGTTGTCCCCTTTTCGAGCAGGCTGATGTTGAATGAATTGGGTTTGTGTTGATGTGGCAGCGTATGAGTTGTATGTGCCGGGGACTACACACTAGACTAGATTGTGGACGTTCACTTTCTAGAACACCAATAAAGATCCGGGTTAGAATTGATCTTCAGTAATCCATGCTTGTCCTAAGAGGCGACTAACGGGATCGGATTATCGGGTTGCTGACTTGGTTGACACATGTCGTATCCCAATTGCGTAGATCGATGCTCATGATGTTGATCACTGGATTGTCCAGCGTTAAACAACCAACCAACCAACCCGTTTCCAGAATCAATGAGCAAGAGTAGTAGCGGTATAGTTTAACTTTGGATGCAGAAGTGATAAAGTGAATGTCTCTACATGAAAATTACATGTAAAAATATACATATACACATTCAAGTGCGACAACAGATTTGGAATGTGGAATGAACGTTCAAGTCATACACAGTATTTCTAACCGTTACTCAGTTGTAGTCTGAATTATCTCCCTTATACTACAATGCCCGCCCCATAAATGGGGCGCGCATTTGAAAGCGCGCTCAGAGTGGCTACGTTGAAAAAACATGAATACTATATCTGAATAACCTCGAACAGGTGATGATCCTTAGTGATCATCCATGTGAACTGATCCATAAAGATGTGTATCATCACTTATTTGGGAGGTGAGGTAGGGGGGTAAAGCCTTCGTTCGTCACACCGAAGACCCGGGTTCAATTCCCCATATGGGTACAATGTGTGGAGCCCATTTGTAGTATCCCCCGCCGTGTTATTGCTCGAATGCTGCTAAAGGAAGTAAACAATACTCACTCACTCACATATCTCAAATCACTATGGTGCCGCTGTTCCTACAGAGAACATCTGACGGGGATGGTGTCTGTTGGGTGGTGATGCATGTAGGGTGGTGGCGCCATAAACCTTGAATCAAATATACATACATACATACAAATATTTATATAGCGCTAGTTTCTGGCATCTGCCACTCAAAAGCGCTGGAAATGAGTCTGGAACGACATTGGTCAAGTTCGGTAGGCAGCACTGAACAAATGAGTTTTCAGTTGTGACTTAAATGCTGGTAGATTCTCTTGCGATCTCAGGTGCATAGGTAGACTGTTCCACTTTGGACCAGCTTTTGCGAATGAACGGTCGCCAAATGTCTTTTTTCGTGTGGTTGGTACCTCCAAGAAATACTGGGAACCAGACCGTAAGGATCTGGGAGGGTAGTGTCTTTTAAGAAGATTTGGAAGGTAGCTGGGGGCAAGTCCATTCACACACTTGAACACTAACAACAGTATTTTGTACTGGATCCTGTATCTGACTGGCAACCAGTGTAGACGGTGGAGAAAAGGGGTGATGTGATATGAATTTATTGGGAAATACCGACCCGGATGTATAAAGAGTCTTCAGGGTGGAGACAGCCATAAGGACAGCAGGGTTCACTGGTCAGAGAATATGTCTTGCATCAACCATCAGTCGGGGTTTAGGATTACAATTCACATTGCATACTGGGTATTCTCGGTAGCAGATCAGCATATAGTAACATGGGCATTGTGATATTATGTTGCTGTTTGCGGCGATGGAGGTATATTGAATTTGTTTTTTAGATCACGGATGTGTTTCATGCATTAAAAACTGTTTCGTCTGTTCTACAACACTCTATAAAAATCTACATCTCCACTACCCAAAAGAAGTTATGAAATGATCTAACTCTTTCACATATCTTCAGTTAACACGTAACACCGACCATCCACAGAAGAACTGCCATGTCATGACCTGAAGATTCAGGTGATCCTTAACTTCTTTCAAGTAGCATATGATGACGGGGGTTTTATTGACTCAATACATGACATTGACTTTGTACAGAAACAGTGAGCGAGATAGTTTCCAAATTTTGCTTGCCAGTCGGGTTAGCTATGCCCGAAAGTTACTAGCCCTCAAAATAATTCACAAGCCCCATACCAAGTGTCATTATTTTACACAAAGTAAACAGTTAATAACGGTACTATATTTGTGCACCTACTTTCAGATCTCCGACGCATCTCGGGTGTTGTTTTGCTATGTCAAAGGCAAATTTTAATCGTCTCGGAAAATATGACCCCGGTCTCAAAATATGGGGTTGTGAAAATCAGGAATTGTCATTTAAAGTAAGTATACATTTCCGCATATCAAACACTTGCTGTGAGCATTTGGGTAGCATGGTGTTTAAGCATCGACATGTAAATATCCGGCTTGATGTATGGCTAAATGCAAAGAGAGTATTCTATTGATTTTTGTCATGGACCTCTGTTTTCTTAGAATGCAAATATTCAGACAGATTCAAAAGAATTACAAAGCCCTAGTACTGATGCTAACAGTGGAAAATCACTAGAGTTTTACTCTCCTCTACTCAGAGCAGCTTGAAACCGGTTAATCAGGACAAATATATCCATAATTGAGGTTAATGTGAAAACCATATTTTCCCCAGACCTGGATGTGCGGGGGTGAGATGGAGATCATCCCCTGCTCCCACGTGGGGCACATGTTCCGCAATATGCCCCCCTGGTCTTGGGGGAAAGGTGGGGATACCGACCGTCTACACAAGAACTGTCTCCGTGTCTCCGAAGTCTGGATGGATGAATACAAGACGCTACACCACGAGCGTATCTACAATAGACAGGTACTTGATACATACGTACTGCACCACGAGCACGTCTACAATAGACAGGTACTTGGTACATACATACTGCACCACGAGGGCATCTACAATAGACAGGTACTTGGTACATACGTACTGCACCATGAGCGTGTCTACAGTAGACAGGTACTTGGTACATCTGTACTGTACCACGAGCGTGTCTACAATAGACAGGTACTTGGTACATACGTACTGCACCACCAGCCTACTGGAATATGACCTGTTAGTGTCGGGAGGCGCTACTTCCGGTGTCACCGGTAGCACTAAACAACATGAGGTCTCGCGAAGTGCCATTACCTACCTACGGGCCCTATAGACAGGTAATTGGTATAGCAAAGGTTGCACGGGATTTTTTCCAGCCCAGGATTTGTCTCCTATAGAGGGGGACTGGGTAGATATGCGCTGCAGGTAAATGCAGAAATCCATCATAAACAACTATATAAGAAGATATGTACCACACCTATCAATACTCTTTACTTGGCCGATTCTTTTATGTGTTTGTCTTATTTCAGTTAGACTTTGGCGACGTGTCCGACCGGAAGGCCTTGAGGAAGAGTCTGCAGTGTCGGTCCTTCGACTGGTATGTGAAGAACGTCTACCCCGAACTGTACATCTTCACCGGCGGATCTGCCATCGGCCGGGTGAGTGAGTGAGTGAGTAAGTGAGTGAGTGAGTGAGTCGCTTTTTAATGTAGAGAAGACAACTTGAAATGGTGCATGTCCTAGATATTTAACGCCCATTTGAAGCCCAATACGGTTACGGAAACCCAAGAAAAACGGATCCTGTAACACCAAAGGCCCGCAACACTACACAGCACCTTAGACGGATGGTTGCCTATACTCTGTGATCCTGTTTTCCAATATTCACATTTTTAAAGAAGTTCAAAAATATATATCAAATTCCAAAAGGTTCAGTGATCAGATATAATGTGTATGATCTAAATAATTCATGTATTCATTGTATTGTATATATCATTTTGTATATATATTTCTATCCCTGTACATATAGTTTGTTTCACGTTTGCATGTAAGCACTATAAATAGGAGAGGGTTTCACTAAGTTGGCATAACTTGTACCCAATCCATTCTCTTGAATAAATATGTTTAAATCAAATCCTGTTTTCCGTGTCGAACATGGAAACACACCAATAAGAATGAATCTATGGTTCCCCAGTTTCATGTATTGCTAACCCAAATAGAGTTATATCGATTTTATCATCTGGATGTTATTCAAAGACATTTGCTTATGAATAACAGTACAGGGTAATTATATCCATAATGCTGACGTCTGTTGATAGGTACCACAGATATTTGCAAGAAGGTGACATTCGTTGCCGAAGTGTGTAAAGTAGCTAAATGACTCAAATTTGTGTTTAAGCCAAGACTGCACACTTACATATAATTGCTGTCAAATTCTTCCTCATTAAAAAAAATCTTAGGCTAGAGTTACCTCACAAGGTTTATGAAAAAACAGTTTGTTTTGTGTAAATGTTTATTAACTCAGCTAGTAGGTATACCAGGGGAGACAACTCGCTATCGCCTGACCTGATGACTACCTGTTCGTACTTACACCTGAACTTTGTCATTCAACCTAAGGTGGGGAGAGATTACTGCCATGGGCAGTGTTTGCTGATTCAATCTTAAATCTGTAGAATCCGGGACCAACAGATGATGAAGCGACATTGTTAATGACATATTGATATATCTGTGTATGTATGTGTTATTCTGTGGATCCAGCACAAGATGGAGCTACCGGGCAAAACCTGGATACTAAACCCTCAAGTTAAAATATTCGAGGTCAGACCCAATCCAAAGATTCTTCTTTCAAAATCCCTTAATGTTCCTAAACTACGTTTACACTACGGCGGGGTAGCCCAGTGATTTAAAGTGTTCGCCGAAGACCCGAGTTCAAATCATTACATGGGTACAGTCATCTTCGATCATCTCGAGGGTATACGTTACGATCACTCTTCACTCTACCCTGGATGCATCTACGGCTTGGCCCGATAATTATATTACCTCCCTTTGCTGGCTCCGCATTCTCACAGTGGCCAATCAGCTAAGCCGCCGTTACATCCGAGCTTGCCAGTGTCAACAAAGATAGCGGTCGCAGTCGCGAAGGTTTGTTCGCAGTACCACTCAGATGTTTTGGGAAATAATACAGACAAACTGACAAATCTGAAACTTTCAAAAAATATATAAAATAACTCCTTCTGCCTCTTTCAGAGTACATCTGCAACAATATATTATTATGTTGACAAGTTTAAACGGTTAGATAATTTAAGAAGCGTAAGTGACTTGTGATTGGTTCGCTCAACTTCCCAGCGTAGACACCTGATTGGATAAAAAGCCAGCAAAGGGAGGTAATAAAATCATCGGGCCAAGCCGTGGATGCATCCAGGGTATAGTGGAGAGCGACCGTAACGTATACCCTGGAGATTATCGAGGATGGGGTACAGTGTGTGAAGCCCATTTCTGGTGTTTCGCGCCGTGATATTGCTGGAACACTGCTAAAGGCGGCACAGAACCACGACCATCATCTTGGACACTGCGGTTTAAATGTTTACCGCAGTGTTATCAATAAAGATACCTCTTCCCCACGCTGCTGCCACAACTATGACATCACATCCGATGCGGTTCAAAGTTACAGAAGGGGAATACCCAAACAGTCAGACCAGGTGACATTTGAGAAGTGAAGTTGGTGTGTTCCGATTGATGTGCTCATTTGCTGTCGGGTGTATTTTCAGATCTCGAATATGGCAGTTCCGGAGCGGTGTGTCCAGACTCCCATACACCACATGGACTTCGGCAGACACGTCGCCACCGACATCTGCAGTCACTACAGCCTCATACAGGTACATGTGCACTACGCTTAAGGTAGTAGGGGGTGGGGTGGATGTGTCAGGTTTTGGCTTGGGTGTTGGGCCGTCGGTGTAGGTGTTCGGCGAGAGTGGGAGCTTTGGATGTTAACAGTATTTCATGTACCAGTACAGCATTGTGTATCGACTCTGAAGGTGATGAAGGCCCATCGTGGGACGGCTGAATTTCTAGAAGTAGTATTCAAGAAACGCCAGTGTTGTAGAACAAGCATGGTGCTGACAACCTTGAAACATAATCAGGACCGGGATTCAAACCCACAATCATAGGTTCCTAGCACACCTAAGGGAGACAACTATCCATATTGAATCTCCGAAGTTAAGATGACTGCCGTTCCAGCTGTATATCTCGATGAGGAAGATGGTAAATCGAGTCACGGGATTTAGATTATATACTCCTAGGGGCATTTGGGTAACTTTGTGAGTAAGGCGTTCGCTCCTCACGCTGAAGCCCCGGGTTCGATTCTCCACATGGTTACAATGTGTGAAGCCCATTTCTGTTGTCCCCCACCGGAATATTGTTATAAGCGGCGTAAAACTAAACTCACTCACTTACTTATATAAAGTATAAGGTAACCAACTCGAGTTTAAGGGGGGAAATTCCACACGCATTTTCCACATTTTAGTTCAAGTGTTGTCAGCGGACAAACACACACTTGTGCTTTTATGTCCTTGGATTCACAGCTTCATACATGCTCTGACCATAAATTTTCTTTTAACAGATTGGTGTGGTGAGCCCCACACAAATAATATGTGCACAATCAACCACGTGATAGTATTGTTATCTTTAGCTACACTTTAATGTCTCCATAAAATTCTGCAGCCCAGTGATCAAAACTGAGCAGAAACTGTTTACGTCGTGAAAACTCGTTATGTTTGGAACACATAAAATATACTTTCTTCGTGTTACGATGACTTCGTGGCGAAGTGAGAACAGGTACCCAAACACAGGTGTGTAATAGGTGAGGTGAGATAAGATTTGGTTTAGCGTCGTGCTTGAGAATAGTTCGCTCATATGACGACGTGCATGCGTGTGTATGTGTATGTGTGGCTGCTTGTACTATCCCAGACTGAAGCTGGTTTTATAGTGCTAGCTCACTGAGATACCAGACACATTATACTGACTCCGAGCCGACCAGTCCTTGTTGTATCCATTAATGCCGAGCGCCAGGCAGGGACCAACAAGAACCATATTTTAACGTATTTTGGTATGACGGGGATCGAACCCACGACCTTCCGCTCTCGGGCGGACGCTCTAACCACTACACCACGGAGGCGGTCGTGTGTAATAGGAGGAATTAACGCTTTGTGAGGATCAAAACTTGATTGCCCATCATCACGCCCCGACCGCGTGGAGATTTGCTGTGTCAGTTTCCGACTCCAGGAATTTACAGAGCTCCTTGACATTAATCCTTTCAGAGGTGGAAATAACTTTAAAATTGCTCATGTACTCCGGTACAGTGGCACATGTAAAATCACTTGCCCTGATAACTTTCCACTATACCGGCCGTTTTTCTTGTTGATTTTTAAATAAACAACATAATTAACATTGGAATATCAACTGGTACAGTGTGATATACAAATTTGCTTGCCCGACAGAAATAAACACTGGACTCGGGCGTCGGGCAATGGGTTATTTCCACCCCTGCCTTTAATATCGCTCTGTGAGGCGTAAATTGTATACATAACTGTTTCCTGGGTCACTTGCATGGTAATCAATTATAGATAAATTACAGAATTTAAAAACGTTCTCCGATCCGCAAAAATGGAATCAACTACTTTGTTCGATCAGCGAAAAACACTGTGTTTTTGCTCTATATGTACGATTATTGTTTTGAGGATAGTGTTACGGCGTTTCAGCACTATTCAAGCAGAATCACAGAGGGACACTAGAAAAGGTAATGACATGTTGTACCATGTGGGGAATCGAACCCAGTTGTTCAAAGTGACGGGCGAAGTGATAATTGTGAGTCACATGAAACCAGCAGGTATCTCAAAGGAGCCAAGGTGACAGAACAGGTCCCCGCTAGCCCTGGTGGTAGCGACTGAAATATACCTCAATGATAACAGTGTTTGTCCGGAAAGATTTCCGCCCGTAACCCCCGTACTTATTTCTAATCATTATATGCCTGAGCATATCCGTCTATGTTTTTATAAACAGCCTATACCTAACCTGAAACCCTAACCCTAAACCTAATCTTAACATCTAACCCCAAACCTTTACCCTAAAACCCTCGAAATAATCTTAATAAATAAAGTACATTTCAAGTGGTGGTTACTGGCGGAACTCTTACCGTTTGTCCAAGCTATTTGTGTCATTGCTACCAACGGTGGGCATGGTTGCTCGAGCTATCAACCACTCGCTTGTCTGATCCATGATCGTGTTAAATTGCATCGTTTACGGCGTAAAACAACATATACTCATTCACCGGAAAGTCCAGTTATTATTCACAACATTATATTATTATTATGATTACACAATGCCCAGTTATTCCTGGGTCCTAACGAAGGATAGGTATTATATTTTATCATATATATTTAAATTGCCATTTTGTTAAAATTATATGTTATATATTGACGTCATAGAAACACAATCGCGACTAACCGCTGCTTTAACGTCGTGCTTGGGATGCCGCAGTGAAGCATGAATACCCCACTCAGACACATTATACTGACTCCGAGCCGACCAGTCCTTGATGTACCCATTAATTCCGAGCGCCAGACAGGGACCAACAAGTACCATATTCTAACGTCTTTTGGTATGACGCGGTCTGGGATCGAACCCGCGACCTTCCGCTCTCCGGGCGGACGCTCTAACCACTACACCACGGAGGCGGTCGTATAAGTAACGAAGAGGTGGATTGAAATTTCGTTGCCATAGTTACCAATATATTTCATTTCTTTATGTTCAGCATTTCACGCTAACCAAAGAAGCAACAATACGACGTGATGATGGTTGTCTGGACTTCGACAACATGCAGGGCCTCATCGTGACATCCTGCACAGATGCACAAGGGTGGCAATACACGGCGGTAGGTCAAGGTCGACGTGAACCATGGCGGAAGGTTCAAATCTTTGCCAGATGTCTCTCAGTGTTCCATTTTATAACATTTAGCCCACAATCGACGTTTAAAGTAGCAAAAATATATTTCCTACGTACAGGATTTATGAGGAGGGTTCAAGACTTCGGTATAGCAGATGGTATGATGTATTAAGGATGAGTCAGTGAGTTTAGTTTTACGTCGCTTTTAGCAATATTCCAGCAACATCACGGCGGGGACACCAGAAATGGGTTTCACACATTGTACCCATGTGGAGATTCGAACTCGGGCCTTCGGCGTGACGAGCGAGCGCTTTAACCACTAGGCTTTCACATTGTGCGTGCTCCTCCATAAAAGTCATCATCACCTTCCTAAGCCATAAGGGGCCGTGGGGTAGCCTAATGGTTAAAGCGTTGGCTCGTCACGCCGAAGACCCGGGTTCGAATCCCCACATGGGTACAATGTGTGAAGCCCATTTCTGGTGTCCCCCGCCGTGATGTTGCTGGAATATTGCTAAAAGCGGCGTAAAACCAAACTCAGTCAGTCAGTCAGTCCTAAGCCATAAATTATGATCGGCCGTGATGTTGCTGGAATATTGCTAAAAGCGGCGTAAAACCAAACTCAGTCAGTCAGTCAGTCCTAAGCCATAAATTATGATCGGCCCTTAGTGTAATAATGCTGAAGGCTGCGTATAATTCTCAGACCTCACGTCACTTCAAAGGTTACGACGAATTGAAAACCACTGTAATCAAACGTATTCCCTGCATCGGTAAGAATATCTTAGTTATATCAGCTCCAACGTAAACGCGCATTGCTTGTTTCTGCTTTCAGGAAGACACTTTACTACATGGGAAGTCTGGTCGCTGTTTGGAGCTTGCACCTGATGACGTCACATTGCTTGTATCCATTTGTTCTGGGAGCTCACGACAGCGTTGGTCATGGGAGAGGCGACCAGCGGAGCTTGGCCCCCGTGAGGACGAGGTGCCAAATCGTGACGAACAGTAGAATGTGTGTCTTCCGCCAGCGAGTGTTTTCTTCGTGAGTGTATAGAGATGCAACGCCACTTTGATCAGTATCCCGTTGTTTCACGGCGTGTGTGGATGATGTGGATGGAAAATCCTGACTTCATTCGTTATTGTGTTGGTACCATCATCTCTGATCAGTCTGTCCACAACAAGGTCATTAATTTTGTTAAAAGTTTTACTGAAGGACCCGTGAAGATCCAGGTTAGAATTGGTCTTCAACCCATGCTTGATGTAAGAGGCGACTAACGGGATCGGGTGGTCAGACTCGCTGACTTGGTTGACATATGTCATTGAATCCCAGATCGGTGGTCATACTGTTGATCACTGGGTTGTCTGGTCCAGACTCGATTATTTACAGACCGCCGCCATATAGCTGGAATATTGCTGAGTGCGGTGTTCATCAACACACAAACAAACTAATGAAGGTAAAGACGCTGATTTTCCGTGAATGATGTCGCACCTCTGGTATGATGCAATGGTATGACAGTATGATGCAATGGTATGATAGGACATTGGGATAGTTGGCAGTTGCTGTATCATGCATCACATTAGGGTTCAACAGGCCCTCGCTATAACGCGGATGAGGCCAGTGTTGTATGGAGTCTGTGAGCTTGACTGCCACATGTAACAGTAGTGCGTCTATACCGTGATAAGCGTCGTCTTCATCATCCTCGATAATCTCCAGGGTATACTTTACGATAACTCTCCACTATACCCTGGATGCATCAACGGCTTGGCCCGATGATTTTATTACCTCCCTTTGCTGGCTTTTTATCCAATCAGGTGTCTATGCTGGGAAGTTGTGCAAACCAATCACAATTCACTTTCGCTTCTTAAATTATCTAACCGTTAAACGTTGGCAACATAATGGAAGTAGTATAATCATTGGGCCAAGCCGTAGATGCATCCGGGGTATAGTGGAGAGTGATCGTAACGTATACCCTGGAGATTATTGAGGATGCATCTTCATGTGCGCGCGGGGGGGAGGGGGTAGTGATGCAGGTCTCCGGCGTTTACCATTCCGAACGGTGATGATAGACTTGGAAACATATTCTGAACAAATATGGATTCGAACCCACGATCATAGGTTCCTGGTGAGCGCAAGGAGGCAACTCTGCGCTGAATTGTGACATCATGGACGACTAACCCTCTGAAGTATTGAAGAATATGTACATGTATAAAACTAAATGTGTACGACTCGGTATCCGTATTTAAAACCCAGGCTTAGTGGAAATATACTGAGAGAAACAAATAAAGGAACACAGGAAAATTCAAGTATTAATATTTTCCAGTTTTCATCACCAGATTTGAATAGCGTTGTAGGAGGAAATCTGAGAATAAATAAAGGAACACTGCCATTAAGTGGTGTTCCCTAATCTGTTTCCCTCAGTATATATCTCAATAATCGTATGGATTTTGGAATGGTAATAAAGTCTGAAATCCTTCATGATCTCCCATTTGATATACAGTGCAATGGGGCTGGGATTGTATTCCAGAAAATAATTACAATTACCCTGCCCCACCCCAATATGTTCACCCCACCCTATCCCATCCCACCCCACACCCCGCTCAACATTTTTGTTTAGGTGGGGTCCATTGTCTATTTTCAATCATGTAAAAATTCAAATCAAAAGTGTTAAAAACAGTTAAAAATGGTTCCAAATGATATTGTTTATGATGATAATGCATGCACATTCACAAATTATCTAACCGTGCATGTGCATGCATTATCATCATAAACAATATCATTTGGACCCATTTTTAACTGTTTTTTACACTTTTGATTTGAATTTTTACATGATTGAAAATAGGACAATGGACCCCACCTAAACAAACATGTCGATATCCTAATTATCAATGACTTCCTCAGTCTGATGTTTTGAGTCAATAGAGTTACATGATTGGTTGTTAAAACATACCAAACCAAAGTCTTCTATCCATATAACATTTTAGGATATTCTAATATTTAGAGGTGTAATATTTCTTTTGGCGTTCAGTTTATATGAGGGTACTTTGACCGTGGGTTCGAATCTCATATTGCTCCTGACTATGAATGAGTAATCACTAAGAGCATATTTTGTCAGTTTGTTAAATTATGTTATGCCTCGTTCTAGGCACTTCATTGATGCGGACCCTGTTTAAAGATCTGAGAATGTTTTTTTCCTGGCGATAATGCAATATCATTGTGTCTTCTGTGTTGAAATGATTGCCGTCCATAGCTTGCTATTGATAGAATAAACTGTATACGTTTGTACTTTGCTGCATTAATTGTTCATGATACATTTAATTCAAATAATGTCTGTGACGGTTGATGTTTATACTTTCATCAGTGACGGTATATGAACAACTGCATAATAGGTTGAAGATCCCAGCTACTGTAACTGTCATATATGTGATCACAGTGTTGAACGCAGAACGGATTCAAGTGTGGCGAAATCGATGCTATATTTGTGAATGTTTGAATAAAGCCAATAATTTGTCTATATTGAGAATGTATGTTTTTTGTTTGACATGAATTATCCATGATAAAATAAAACAACGAAATATGTTTTAAGAAAGAATGACGATTTATAATTAGACATTGGAAATACCATTCTGAAAAATTAATATGACGTTTTATTGAAGGGGAAATCAACAAATGCATAATTCATAAATATATGAATACTATTTATTGAGAAGACTTCATCCATCCTTTTGTCTTTAACGAAAATGGGGCGGTGGGGTAGCTTAGTGGTTAAAGCGTCACGCCGAATGCCCAGGTTCGATCCCCCACATGGGTACAATGTGTTAACCCCCACTACTGATGTCCCCAGCCGGGATATCCTGGAATATTGCTAAAAACGGCGTAAAACCCAACTCACTCACTCACTTTAACTAAATATTTTTTTTTTTTAAAAACCCTCAATAGACAGTGTTAGGATTCCGCGTTGGAAGACGTTTTCAACAACCTTTACTGGCAGCAAGAGGCTCCTTCATAGGTCTGGAACGGTGACTTACCTTAATACGTGTGCTCATGATATCAATCACTGGAATATATGGTTCATTCTCGACTATATCAAGTTAATCTTTCATCAAACAATGTCGACAGATCAGACAGACAGACATTTTATTTCAGTAATGTAGGCCATTGGCCCATAATACAACATAGAGCAAATATAAAGAATACATACATGCTGGATATAGGATAACGATTGGAATAAAGGGTCAATTAATTGTAGTAGTGGGTTTACTTCTTAGTTTTAATGCAATGGAGAGGAATGTAGTTAATGGTTTTAGATAATTTATGATGTTACAAGTAATTAAACTCACCAAAGTTTCAATTGTTGGAGGGTGGGTCTAGTGGGTTGTGAAGCACTTATTTCTTATTTCGGGGCGGTGGGGTAGCCTAGTGGTTAAAGCGTTGGCTCGTCACGCCGAAGACCTTGGTTCGATTCCCCACATGGGCACAATGTGCGAAGCCCAGTTCTGGTGTCACCCGCCGTGATATTGCTGGAATATTGCTAAAAGCGGCGTTAAACTAAACTCAGTCAGTCAGTATTTCTTATTTCAGAATATTTACCACAGATAAGTAGGACATTGATCTCATCTTCAACATAGTTTAAACCAGACGTTGATCATATAAATTAGGCCCTATGTGGTATTCCAGTGTATCACGACAGCCGGTAAGAACAGAGGCTGCCCAAACCAGTGAGCGAGAGCATGAACATCGAATTATCTGAATTTTTACTTTTGTCGACCAACTTTCATTTATTCGTTACAATGCGTTCATACGACGCCAAGTTGCTACACACCACTTCGCAAACATGAAACAACGGCGCGGGGACACCACTCGACGTGAAACAAAAATCTTAATGTTCAGTTACTGAACATATCTGCGTAATATCCGTGTTTCTGGGGTTATTGTATAAATATTATCAATAATGTTAGAAGGAACGAGCCTATGTACAACAACCGTATTGACCCTCACCTTATCCAACACATACTGTACAACAACCGTATTGACCCTCGCCTTATCCAACACATACTGTAAACAACCGTATTGTCCCTCACCTTATCCAACACATACTGTACAACAACCGTATTGACCCTCACCTTATCCAACACATACTGTACAACCACCGTATTGTCCCTCACCTTATCCAACACATACTGTACAACAACCGTATTGACCCTCACCTTATCCAACACATACTGTACAACAACCGTATTGACCCTCACCTTATCCAACACATACTGTACAACAACCGTATTGTCCCTCACCTTATCCAACACATACTGTACAACAACCGTATTGACGCTCACCTTATCCAACACATACTGTACAACAACCGTATTGACCCTCGCCTTATCCAACACATACTGTAAACAACCGTATTGTCCCTCACCTTATCCAACACATTCTGTACAACAACCGTATTGACGCTCACCTTATCCAACACATACTGTACAACAACCGTATTGACCCTCGCCTTATCCAACACATACTATAAACAACCGTATTGTCCCTCACCTTATCCAACACATACTGTACAACAACCGTATTGACCCTCACCTTATCCAACACATACTGTACAACAACCGTATTGACGCTCACCTTATCCAACACATACTGTACAACAACCGTATTGACCCTCACCTTATCCAACACATACTGTACAACAACCGTATTGACCCTCGCCTTATCCAACACATACTGTAAACAACCGTATTGTCCCTCACCTTATCCAACACATACTGTACAACAACCGTATTGACGCTCACCTTATCCAACACATACTGTACAACAACCGTATTGACCCTCACCTTATCCAACACATACTGTACAACAACCGTATTGACCCTCGCCTTATCCAACACATACTGACAACAACCGTATTGACCCTCGCCTTATCCAACACATACTGACAACAACCGTATTGACCCTCACCTTATCCAACACATACTGTACAACAACCGTATTGACGCTCACCTTATCCAACACATACTGTACAACAACCGTATTGACGCTCACCTTATCCAACACATACTGTACAACAACCGTATTGACGCTCACCTTATCCAACACATACTGTACAACAACCGTATTGTCCCTCACCTTATCCAACACATACTGTACAACAACCGTATTGACCCTCGCCTTATCCAACACATACTGACAACAACCGTATTGACCCTCACCTTATCCAACACATACTGACAACAACCGTATTGACCCTCGCCTTATCCCACACATACTGTACAACAACCGTATTGTCCCTCGCCTTA